TTGGACTAAACTTTTTTTTTAATCATTAGTAATATGCTAAAAAAATAATTTAAAGCCCAAAACAAAAGATATATATATATATATGTATAACCTTTGCAGTAGAAAAGGTTGCTCCTAATTATCCGGTTTTAATGAATTATTTTTTTTTTAGGAAATCCCTTAAACCTTTAAAAATCATTATAGCCATAATGCGAATGGCGGACGGCGGACTGACAAAAAATTTTTTATTCGTTTTTCGTATTCTATGTATCCTGAAACGTAAAACCTCAAATTTTAAAAGGGGTTTAAGTTTTTGTATCTTTTGGTCGATCACAATGGTTCATCATTGAAAATAATAAACCAAGAATATATTAAAATCGCGATATCTCTACTAATAGTGCTTTGATTTCTATGAAACTTCATTCATTTTTTAGGAAATTTAAATACCTTTCAAACATCCTGTCACAATATCGACAAAAATGAGTATATTTTTTGAGTTATTCGAAATTTAATTTTACCATCCCCCGTAACTTTCTTCCCAGCTTCTTTTCGTTGAAATATGTTGTATAGATAAATTTAAAGGGCGTCTGGAAAATGACTTTAAAGAATTTTCATTGAAATCGCTAGTTCGTTTAGGCGCTATAGTGTATAGCAACCTAGGTTTTTCGGCCGCCATCTTGAAAGTAAAAGGCGGATGGCAATGTCGGTGAAGGAAGATCATCCTCGGGCGACTTCTGATTTTATATCCAAATTTGAAAAAAAATCGGTCCAGTAGTTTCGGAGAACGAGCGGATGGAGGATGGCGTACGGCGGACGCCGAACGGACAAAAAAATTGAATTCGTTTTTCGAATCTACTTATCCTGATACGTAAAACCTCAAATTTTAAGAGGGTGATAACTTTTGAATTTTTTGGTCACTCACAATGCTTCATTATTGAAAATAATAAACCAAAAAGACTAAATAAATAATTAATATAAAATAAATACACTTAAAAATATTAATAATAAGATTAAATAAATAAACTTTAAAAAAATAATAATAATAAAATAAATAAATGAACTTTAAAAATGAAAAATAATAATAATAAAAATAAAATAAAAGTTCTGCTAAGGATCATTCATTAGTCATAAACATCATATATTTTTTATAAGACTTTCATAATGTAGGAATTTCAGTTAAACCTAAATGAAGTTTTAACCTGAACCTAATTATGAACATATTATTTTATTGAGCGTTTGAAATTTTAATGCACTTCTTAAAATTAAGTAACATTCTTTCATCACAATTAAAGGGTATCAAAATGATGCAGGAGAAACTAATATTACTCAGAAAATGAAATCTTTCCGATTACATGATGTGAAATTTTACCTTTCTAAAAATGGTAAAACTATGTAGAGGTGTAAATTAAGTTAAATTTTCGATATTTGTTTTCCATAAAGTTAACCAGTTTTGTGTTTATCTGCTTTTCTAGTATTAATGTTTAAAAAAAAATTATTCATTTATGACATATGAGATTATAACTGTTTTTCTACTAAAAGTTACTGGCGATACTTATGTAAAAAGACCCAAATATTTATTATTTAACGATCAAGACAATAGAAATCAACATATATTTAAAATTAGAGTTCCTGATTATTTAAAGCATATGAATAAAATCACGATTGTTAAACCCTCTTAAATAGAATAGAAAAATAACTTTATTTTGGAACGAAGTCCCTTTAGAATAACAAAATAGTACAAAAGAAACAACTTAATTTTGGCCGAAATGCTTGGTATTTAATTTCATTAAATATTTTATTCTATTTAACTTATTTATTGAAAAATATTACAATCTGTTTCAAAGGACATTTATAATAGTGTTCAGAGATAAATACAATAAATAAAATAAATTATACAGAAAAATAATATATAATAAATAAATAAGTCATTAAATCAAATACATTTAATGAAATTAGATTAAAAAATCACTGAAAACATGAAATAATCTTGCGATATACAAAACATTCAATCATAATTTCATAATAAAATAATCTATGTTTAAAAAAGAAGATAAATGTAAAGAAAGCAAAAATAAAATTCGGAAATATTGAAAAAATCTATCTTCGTAAGATTGAAGCAGACGGCCGAGGCGATGGTATTCTACCTATCAGTCTATGTGCTTTTTGATTTCATGAATCCTTTTTCTTTTTCTTTTTTACCTTATGCTGAAGAACTAAACTAATGAGCCTCCTCGTCAGAATCAATTATTTTCTATTAAAAAAAATGAATAAGAAAAATATCGAAAACAAATTATTAATATACAAGTTGCGGGAAGCAGGTACTCTAGCTGACTAGGCCAGGCAGAGCGACGGGGCTGCTGTATCGCTTTCAAAGTAACGCCCTCTGTGTGACTGCCCTGGATTAGATATCGCCGTGAGTATCGCGCGTTATTGTAACGTAACGTCGGATCGCGTTCTGTGTGACCGAGCCTTTAGGGACTGTCTCACCTTCCTAATAGCGATGGTTCCATATTACTCGCTTCGACCCCTGATAGATCAGCACACATTCTTACCTCATGCCCGAAATCAAAAATCCTCTGACACAGGGCATCTGTTACATTGGCCAACTTATGAGAAATGGACCAGTGCTGAAGAGAAGATTCCCATTGTCACCTCAAAAGACCCAAGCCTCTATATGGCCCGAGTGCTTATAACATCGCTGAGCGAGTGCAAGCCGGTAAACCTACCATCGCCTTAATACTTCTCCGTAATATAATGTCTATAGATTCCAAGAGCGATGGGGGCAATTTCGCCAATGGCGCGGTCTGCAGTGGGTATTCAGTGAGTTCACACAGTTCTGTGTACAGGGAATCTATACTGAAATTGAAGAGGGCCGGGGAAAGTGGTCCGCCCTGTGGTACTCCTCTCAAAACTAACTTTGATGTTGCTAGTCTTGTTGACTCTCTCACTGACTTTGATGGTGCTGTGACAAAGCAAGCTCTTTATTCCTTTTCAAAGTCAGATGAAACACCTCTAGCTTCCAATGACTTCAACATATGATCATGGCCAATATTGTCGAATGCTACTGTAACGTCCAAAAATGTGACAGCAGTATCCCTCTTTTTGTTCTATGCGCCCTTGAGAACAGCCTCAACGATTCTCGAGTTGAAGTGGCACCAGGTTGTCCAATCACGAAACCCCTCTGATTTGGGTGAAAAGAAATTTGCTTCTGAAGCATGAGATTAAAGATCTTTTCAATAAATCGCCTTAATATGGAGTAAATTGTTATGGGTCTCCACTAAAATAAATCGTCACTAGAACCCTATCCTTCATATATTAAAATTGTCCACACAACAACAGAAAATTTCAGGGATATTACCATTCTGATTATATACGAAATTCCCAGCTTCCTTTTTGTTCTCATAAGAACTCCATCAGGACCATACAAACAGTCCATACAGATGCTCTTTATTGCCTTTTATAATATATAAAGACAGACAATTACTTTAAATTGGTACTGATATTCTGTATGTTTTGAGGAATGAGGATTTTAATTTGCCTATTTATGTCTATTTCTTAAATTAAATATCCTATTCCTCATAAACGAAGGATTCCAGAAAAAATATTTTCACATGCTAATAGTTTCCTTGCATGATTTTCTTACTGTATATAACCACCAAACTTATTCTTGGTTTAAGAATGACTAGAAAAATAAATGTTTATAATTAGAGCTTCTTTTATCTTAAATCTTCGTACAAATTTTTAAAATATTCATGAAGTCTCAAGTTTGAGCTGACAATTACAACATTCTATAACATTCCTTTTAACATTCTTGTAAACAAAATCATTTGAAAAGAAATTTCTAAAGTTATGAAATTTGTAATTGAACTCAGGAGGGACTGAAATGACGTAGGCTAAGCACCTGTAAAAATTGACAAGTAATGTTCTCTGAACATATTAATTAGAACATTAAGGATGAACATATTAGGAGGACTCATCAAGCTTTGAAAATGACCCTTAGTATGGTCGAAACGTTAAATTGATGCGTAATAATAAAAGGTTGGTGAAAATGGCCTAATTTATTGTAACAAATAAAAAAAACAAATTTATATCCAGTCAAAATTATCGGCTTGTTTTCAATAGAAACTTTGGAAAAAAGATGGCAAAAATAACCTTCAATAATTTTTAAAAAATATTTCATCTTTGAAATGTAAGGTTTGATCCAATATTTCCAATTTAAGACAGCTTGTAAAGAAGGTAAACAATTGAAAATAAATTTACTGTATAAAAAGGGTCAGGTTTTCTTGATTTATTCATTAAACATGAACCTGCGATTTTAGAATGTAATTTCATCTCTAATATTAATTCCTCTAATTTTTTTTTTTTCATATCATCCAAATATGTAATTACATGCATTTATCATCAATATGCAAAATATTCAATATAAAATTTGAATAATAGCATCTGGATACACTGATTCATATAGATATTTGATAAGCCATTTAAAAAGTGACTGCGAATACAATATGAAATAGCTTAAAAATCTGGGCTATACAGCTATGTAATATGGGCTAAACAGCTAATCACAGAAAGCATTTAAGATGTTAAATTAAATTTTCTAGAGTCAATAAGGATGTCACATCAAACAAGTAACAAATTTTAAAAAACATATAGCATCTTTAAATGTCTGAAGTCATGGATTTCATTTTAATTTTTGGTAGTTTGATTTGAAATGGAATCAAGCTATGACACTCCAGCTCTACGTTTAAATCATAATGGAAATAAGTTTGGGTGATCAAAATAAGGAAAAAATGATGCAGCACTATATTATTTTATATAATATCAAATAAAAAATTAACATTGTTTTTTATTTCCCCTTCCTGCCCATTTCTGGCATACAGAGTTAAATAATAAATTGTACATATATATTTTTACTTTTCAACTACTATATATATATATATATAGAGTAGGTGTTTGTTGTGTTTATGTATATATGTATGCATGTATAAATTAAATGTATTTTAGTTAAACAAATAACATAGTTATACTTTTATTATTTTAATGTTTACTTCTTTCTTAGGTACGTTCAAAAATCCTCTTGGAGCCATTCTGATAGGAGTTTCATTTGTTTTACCTAATTGTATGTCATAGTTCAACAGCACTTTAGAAAGAGCATACTTCATAGCTGTCATAGCAAATCGCATACCTATAACAGTAATAAAAGATATTTTCACTTATATAAAATAACTATGTTATAATATGGTTTTAATCAAATGTAGGACTAATCATATTAATATCAAAATGAATATAAGTTTTTTCTTCTAATAAAATTTGATAAAAATAAATAAGAATATCTATTCAGAAACACATTTTAATGCTTAAAAACTTCTATAATTCTAAAAATGATTGCAAATCCACAGTTATTTTAGAAACATTAAAATGTTTGTAAGAAAGTGGAAAACAATAAAAATTAAATTTACTTTATTACATTTAAGATTAAATCTGTACCATGGCACAAGAAGGGTCAGTCGAAAAACACAAACTTTGACGAACTGCACAATAACAATTAGGATAAACTTAAAAAAAAAAAGCAGTATTCTCCCCACCATCTGCTAGTGAAGATGACTGATAATGGCAGGGCATTGGTTCTTCTAACAATTAATGTATATTTTATCTTAATTTTATCGTACAGTTCTATGAAAATCCAAATTTGAGCTGGCTATTCTTGTACCAAGGTAAAAAAAATACAATAATAATATAGATATAAATAAATGGCCGATTTATAGGTTATTATTCAGATTTGATGTTTAGCCTAATCATAGCAGTTTCATATTTAAGATCCATTTTTTCAAGTTAATACTCTTAATCATACAGGTAAAAAATATTAAAAAATTATTCTTTTCCATACAATACTGAATGCTTGGTAATATTTCTATTTCATTGAAATAAAACAAGACAGTACAATATGTATTTAATTTACCGAGACAGGTCCTAGACAAACATACTGTTAATACATTTATCAGTTACACAATACTTCTAGTCCTTCATGTATGAGAATATCAATAATTTATTAATTTGCAATATTACATTATTTTGTTATTTTTTCCTTGTAATTTATTATATTTGTTTATTTTGGTTATGATTTAGAAGTAATAATAGATATTTGATTAAATATTACCTATACACATCCGTGGGCCATCACCAAAAGGAAGATACGTCCCTGGAGTCGGTGTTTCATCAAATCTATCAGGATTGAAACTGAGGGGGTCGGGAAAGTTATTGGGATCTCTATGCAAAGCATAAATAGGTATATTGATTGAATCACCAGGTAACATGGTGAGTCCATTGGGAAATTTATATTCCTTTGTACAGACTCTCATAGTTGATGGTGATCCTGGGTGAAGCCGCAATGCTTCTGTGAAAGAAATGATATGTAAGAACTTGAATGGGTTAGACCAAAATTAAAGTAAATATAGTAAGAAGTTAACTTGTAGAATTTTATGAATTATGAGAGATACCCTTCTGCAAATAACAATATATTTAAAAGTATTCTAATCGAGCTTTGGGGCTCTGTTATACCATCTAATTCCTCTTGTAACCAATTCTTACAATCCAAAATCCCTGATAAAATCCTCAATGCTCCTTACTTTGCCACAAATAAAATCATCCATAACAACCTTAATGTATCATATGTTTCCAATTTAGCTCAATCTCGATACCTATCTTTCCACAATAAACTCCTGAGCCATCAGAACTCTCTTATTTCTAACCTTGCTTCCTCTTATATTCCTGATAACTCTCCGGGGCGTCTGAAAAGAAGATGGCCTCGGGACCTTCTATTATAGAACTTTAATTGGAGTTCTATCAATGGGTAGTTTCTCTTCATCTTGTACATATCGTGTTAAGAAATTCAAATTTACTTGTTGTATTTTTCATGTGATACAGTTGTAAATTTCAATAAATATATTTAAAAAACAAAGTATTATAATAATAAGTTCATACCTAGGCTCTGCTTAAATAAATCTCTACAATTAACGAATACAGTAGAGTAGGAGGGTCTTTATAATTGCTTTTATTGATATTTCAATATTAGTATTCTGAAAAATTCTTGAAAACAAGTTTGATGAAAATATTTTGTTGCAGATACAATAGCAAAACAATTAGTTTTTTTTTTTTCATTAAACCACTTGTTTGCATGTACTAATAATTTAATTTTAATTTCTACATTATTAATCTATTCCACATACATAACAAATACACCACATTTCACACTTCAACTATTAATCATCTAAATCCATTTGTTCTCTCTCTTTTTTCCTACTCGTTGGGCTTCAGAGAAGACTAAAAAGGCAGTGGCCTAGAGATCTACTCACAACATAAATAATTATCAAGAAATAAGAAGACAGAAAGAACGACAGCACATTTGCTTGATGCACTGTTATGCAGTTGCAAATATGATGTAAAATAAAATAAATTAATGATTTTTATATTAGGTCAAAGAATTAATATTTATAATATAAACCAATATTGTTATCAGTCAATTGAAAATCATGATCAAATAAACTGATCCAATCAATTTATTTATTGAATTATATAATTATATAAACAATGATAATAAATGTAATGAAAATAAAAACAGTAAATAAATAAAAATTAAATTACATAAGTTAAAACATTAAATTACCTTTAAGAACTTTTTCTAAATAAGTCATGGACTTGAGAGAATCATAAGTTATATCCCCATGTACTGCTACTTGTTCTTTTATTTCCCGCTTAGTTTTCTCTAATGCTTCAGGGTTTCTGGACAATTCATACAAAGCATATGTCATTGAGGAAGCTGTAGTATGAAATCCAGCCGTTAAGAAACCAAAAGCTGTACCAATAAGTAATTCATCTGTTATTTGCACATCTAAAATTATAACATCAAATAATTGGTAGTGTTGTCAACAATAAAAATTTTCATAAATTAAGTCTATCAATGATTTAGATGAATGTACAAGTGATATTATTTCATTTATTACACATTATCCTGAAGTTCTAATGATGGATGAATTCCAATGCATGCAGTGTGTGGAATACAAGTTAACCAAGCATGTGTATGCTTGTTTTCAGGTAATACAAAACCATTTCATATATGTAATGCTGAAATAATTCCCAAAACAGCCCACTTACGCATTAGTTCTTCAATGAAAATTTTTTTTTTTTTTTAATTATTCATTTTTACATTACAGGATTAACTTAACAAGATTTGTTTTGTGGTACAGTAGTTTTAATTAAAAAGGTATAATGTTTGCATTTGATCTTGGCAGCAATTTAGAGAGCTGGTGGAAAGACTTCAAAACAGCAACATTAAAGGAGGCATCAGAAAATGTGGAACAAAGGAATTAAATTTGAGCAATAAGTATACAAAATGGAGAAATGAAGCTGACAAAGAAAAGGTAAAACAGAGAAAGAATGTCTGAAAATAATATTTGTCAAATTGTTTCAGTGAGAACTTAAAATATATATAAATCCAAAAGAAACAAATGCAAAAGGATAGTGTGAAAAGAAAAAAAGAAGACATGACAGGACTTTGGGAAGTATTTGGAAGGCAACTACAAATATATCAAGAAGAAAGTTTGGCATATAGTCAAATACTTGAAAGCAGGGTTCAAAAAATTCATAAACTTTTTAAAATAAGATTCATTTTAAAAAGTTTTTAGTAACAATAAAAGCTAATAAAGTTTGCAGACCCTTTTTCAAAAGATGTGGGACAGCAAGAAGAACTCCCAAAACTGAGAATACAATATGATATTGCCAATTCTCAAAAAAGGGAGCCCAAGTGAGTGAATAAACTAATTATAAGCTAATATGTCTTTATGTGGTTGTATATATATATATATATATATATATATATATATATATATATATATATATTTGTTTTTAATATAAGATGTACACCTCAATCATAGTCCACAGATTAAGGAAACTTGTTGAGGAAGGACAGGCTACATTCAACTGAGTAAACAGATTAAGGACAGCACTAGCGGATCCAGAATATAATTTTGGGGGGGGCTTCAGCCCGAAAGGTGTTTTTTTCATAAAAATAACGATAATTACTTTGGAAAAGAAGAAAGAAACTAACTACCTGTATGAAATGGTGTTTAAGTGATTCCTAAAGCCCCTTTAAATGTAATCACACAAACAATAATACTTTAAGAGATACTTTTTAAATATTTTTTTCAAAAAAACACGCCTATATTTTCCCATTTTGGGGGAGGCTTCAGCCCGAAAGCCCTCCCCCGTAGATCCGCCCGTGAAGGACAGTACCTTTGTGCTCTGAAACATTAAGGAGAAGTGTTGAGACAGAGACAGGATTATGTACCTGGCTTTTCTGTATCTCAGAGGATTATACAGGGGAAGGCCCTGAGTATAAAAATGTACCTGCACCCTTAATTCAGACAGTCAAATCAAAACACTAAAGGTATTGTCAGGATAAATGGTATGATCTCAAAATCTTTCCCTTAAGTACGAATAGTAAAACAAGGATATAGTCCCTTTGCATCATCTCTATGGAAGAAATCCACAATCTACAAGTTATGTAAGAACTGGATATTTTAGTACAGAGACCCAAGAAAAATAATGGAAACTTGACTAACTGATAGAAGACCAAGAGGCAGACCCAGGATACTATACAACAAATATATTACCAGACTTACCATTAAAGAGGGATTAATAAAAACCATAAGAGAACTGAGGATGATGGCACAAAACCAAGAGAACCAGTCAAGATGAATAGAGGCTCCTCTACGCTGTGAGACAGAAGATGAAGAAAAATAAGAAGACATTTTTTTTGTTAATCCTCTGTCAATTTTTAAGCTGAAAAAATGATTCTACATACAACTTTATTTAATGTAGAAAATAAAATTAAGCTGAAAAAAATGTATTTATAAAAACATTTGCCAAAATATTGTTTTATGTGCACTTTTTTCATTTAATTGCAACTTTTGTTTAATTCGTGATCCAGAGTCCGGTACCGTATAGTGAAAAATTTATAAGTTTAGTATACTCAATAATTTAAACTATTTTTTTATTGATTTGATCAACAATAAATTATTTTTTAATATTATTATATTTCCTTTACTCTACTCTAATAACCAATTTTTATGGTGGCAAAACCATTTCAAAATCATTTTTCAAACTTCAGATATAAAATAAGCCTTTTTTTTTCTTTTAGATACTAAAGCCCACTAAATAAAATAGAAAGTTACACCTTGATTTGTTTTTTAGAATGTACATAATAATGAAGATTCGCCAGAAAAATTTTGATCGAAACCAATATCAGTTTCGTTTTTCACTAATATCAATTACACCTTGCAATTTGAATCCTCCACTTTTTTTTTTAATTGACCACAAAAAGTCATATTTTTTCACACCATTTGTCACAAATATAAACAATAATTTTTTTTTCTAATAATGAAATAACAATAAATATATAATGAGATAGTATTAGGTACAAGCTATCAATAAGACTTCTAGAGCTAGACTATCTTCTTTATTTTACTGTCCAAAGAATTAAATCATTATTATTCAATTTGTCTCATCAAAGAGAATAATAAGTACAATTCTATGTACACATTAATACCTTATACATTAAAAAAATCAAAGTTAAAGAAAATATAATAATAAATAAAACGAAAACATAAGAGTAATCATAAACTAAACAATACACCCATACTTATTCACTATATTATGTAATGTAAACATTACATATTGTAATTATTGGGTCAATAAAGTTTTAAATAGTGATGCGAAAACAGTGATGTCAGGAATTACTTTCAATGAATGGACAAAGAGGCGGAAGAATACAGATGAAAGAAAGAGTGAGAGCCAGGTGCTTGGGAGTCAGACAGTAACCGCCCAGCAAGGGATGAGGATTTAGACAAGGACAATAAAGTGCAAGTTTGAGAGAAGCCACTTGTGGTAGATGTTTTGATTTGAAGAGAGAGGAGCAAGTTGGGTTATTGTTATATTTTAGTTATAAGCCTTACCATCTCCTTCAAGTGTCTTATCAGTTTTAAGATCATCATCAGCAGGATCAGTTGACTGTGAATCTAGCTTGCCTTTGGATTGCAGTTGCAACATCATTTGAATAAAGTCATGTCTTTCAATTCCATTTTTTTTTCTGTATTCAAGAGTATTAAGAATTATATTGCAGTAATATGTTACTACTTCAGGTCTGAAAAATGTAAAGTTTAATTTTTTAGCTAATTTTGGAAGCATAGTCAACACAGCAAATCGAAATTGCTGAATTGCAGTAAATTCAAAGATTGTTTTTCCTATGGTTCTGAATTCTGAATTTGGGTTTTTTGTCACTCCAGGATCAATTCCAAATACACATGATCTAAAATCAAAGAAACCAATAAATAAGTAAAAAAAAAAAATACATATGAAAGGTATATCATATAATAATAATAATAAAAGGCTTAGCGATCCCGAAGGTTCGATTCTGACACCATCTAACCATACAACCTCATATAGTGGAAGAAATACTTTTTCAGTAGTCATGTTTGTCATTTAACATAAAGATAAAGAACTGAATGGACAACAACTGAACTTGAACTAATATAGCTTTTAGAACACCTGAACTGCTAGAACAGTTTAATTTAAGGTGGATTTTGTTTTACTTACCCTATTACATCCATCGAAAACAATTCCATTGTCTCTTTCATATCAACTTCCTCTCCAGCATGAGATTCCAAAAGTGTTAATAGGTTATTTACACATTCTGCTAAAGGATCAAGCATATACTTTAGCTTACCGGTCGTAAAAGCAGGGCTTAGTTTTTGCCTATAAAAGAGACAAACAATTATGAGTTAAATAATCTTTAAAATATACCCTACCGAAGCTAATTTAAAAGAAAAAAAACATATTGCTTGATGAAGTGCAACCAGAGTTGGAAGAAAATTCATAATAACAAATAGATACAAACTACAACTAATTTAATTGTAATTCTGTTGCACACACAGTTAAATAGTTATTTATTTATTTTTTTTTTTTTAGTAGACAGAGAACTAATTTATGAAACTAATTCAGTTATCAGTTGAAATGTGCAACTATTTATTTTTAACCATGAAAAATTGGATGTGTTCTCCTTCACTCTGCTCATATAATTTTTCGAGAACTGTTTGCCATTCCAACCAATGGCCTATTATCTTCAAGGAAGAACCTATACATTCTCTGGACAAGTTCAAAATGGAGCTGCGGAATTCCTCCATTTAAAACCTAAAGATTACTATTGTGAAGAAATTAGATAGCCTAGCCTTGAGATTGTAATAATTCATAAGAAAACAAAGATATATAATTAGAATAATAACATATAAAAAATTGTGTTAGAATAAAGTTAATTTAAAATTGAAGAGGAGTTGGTTGGGGTGTTCAGTCACAAGTATCAAAGTAAAAATAAGTAAATTATATTTATTTTTATTTTTGCAAACGTTTCAGCACAAAGTTCAGGCATTCATGAGGGCTGTTGTCCTTATGTCCATTTACAGAGCCATTTGTAAGGACAACAGCCTTTATGAAGGCCTGAACTTTGAGCCGAAACGTCGGCAAAAATAAAAATAAATATACTGTATTGATGACTGACTGTTGTAAAAAATACGAAGTAAAAATAAACATCATATATTTATTTTTACCTTGTTTTTTTTTTTTGTTTTTTTTTATTAAACACCCCAACCAACTTCTCTTCAATACATCCACAACAGTCAATTATTAATTCACTATTATTAATTTAATATTATCAAGAAAAACTGTAACTGCTTACGACACATTTTATTAAAATAATTAGAAAACAGTAAAAATAATTATTTTTTATAATAATTTTTCAAACTTCAATTTATGTTTAGTTAAGTTGTTAAGTTTATAAAAATAAGCTACCTATTAAATCTACATTGTAGAAACTGTTTTTTATATGCTTAAATATTTATTATAAACAGGTTGGTGCTAAATCCCTTAGAAAAACAGATAATTAGTTAAAAACAAAAATTATGCATGCTTTTTGCCAATTTTTAAAACTTTGCCCATTTTGAAAGCTCTATAATGGTTTCCTGTTGCGTTAAAAAAAATATATTAAAATATTTTAAGCTATTTAAGATTGAATACAATCATTCGTTAATTATATCTTTTTAAAATGGGAAAATATTTGGGGTAAATAAAAAAAGCCTGAAATTTCAATGATTTTTGTAACACTTAGGCAAACCCACAAGTCTTTCAATGTCAAAAACTTGGATTTTTTATATATTCACCATACAGCTAACAAAATAAAAAATATATTTCAATTACCCGACCTTTTGCTGCAAGTAACATCGCTAATTTGAATGGGTTATCCACCGACTGCTATCCAACCCAATCCCATAAGATCAGTCTTAACAAAATTCTTCCACCTTGATAACATAATAATGGACCCTCATTGATGAAATTCAAAAAGTTGAAATTAATTTTAACAGTATAATATAATTATAATAATAGTATTTTTGAAAAATTCATCTTAATAATGATAGAGCAGTTGAATAATGGAAACCTTTCAGTAAAGAAAACAAATATTAATTGTTATTTTTTTATTCGGTAACTGCAGATAAAATTAATTAGTTATCAATACCCCATGGGAATTTATTTTTCACATATACAAAAAATTAGTTGTCCAACATAACTAACTTGGTAGTTAAGGGATTAGTTACAAAGCCATAACAATAATTAAACTAATTGCCTTTTATTCAAAACTAATTTAACTATGACTAGCTATTCAACTAAATAACTAGATAACAATATTTTAGCTAATGCCCAACTCAATTGCAATACAATTGAAAATACACTGTAAAAAAAAAATAAACAATATATATTTCATTTAATATGATTCAAGTAAAAGGATTTTTACCAATATAAATAAAATACAAAGCTTTAACCTATTTTTACAAACGTTGTTAGATGAATGTAATTTAAAAATAAATGAAAAAAATTAAATTACTCTTTAAAATAAAATCTGTAATTACCTATATACTCTCCACTGGTTTCCACACATACTAAACAAATTAACTGCTAATGGATTTTTTACATGTTTTAGAGGTGGCCTTCTGTCTACAAAGTAAGAAAAGTCATTCTTTGCAACTTTCTCCACCCATTCTGGATTACGGATTAATAAACGAGGAAATATAAAGTCATAGAAGCCTACCACATCATCATTTGGAAAGGCATCATACACATCTTGCTGGACTTCTGATATATTTTTGCGTCCACATAACACCTATATCAAAATTGAAATGAGGTTATTATAAAGGGTTTACAGAGGTAACAAACCTATTTTTAAGAGATTGAGATGGCCACAAAATAAATTTCAATACTCTCAGCTTCAGCATTTATTTACTATCACCTATAATATATTCACAAATAAAATCAAACTAAAATTAGTTATTACTGAGTAAATAAAAAATATTATATGAACAACAATACCTACAGTATAAAATATTAATAAGTTTGGATCCGTTCAAGAGAACATAACTAAAGTATACATGTATATTGTAATATACACTTTTATTGGAAGTGGGTAAAAATAATTTAATAGATTAATGTTGAACAATTAAAAGGCAAGCTAATCTAGTTCTACTAGTGCAGAGAAAAGAAAATTACTGCTCTGTAGTTTCCCAAGAAAGTTTTGTTTTGGCAAGCAGTTGTTGTGTGACTGCAGTGAAGACAGGATAGGAGAAGTGATACTGGCTCCAGTGGGAAAAACCCAGTAATAGTGTTACTAATTTGGAAGAGTTGATTGGCAGAACTTTGGAAAGTGTTTGAAGGCAAATGAGTTCAGTATCACAAAGGAAGAAACATATAATATAGAAAAAGGTTAGCATGCCAATCCATATTTGACTTTATTTTAAAACCAATCAGTGTTTAATTTTAGTATAAATAGTGTAAATAATAATAGTTTGTCTGAGTTGATTTGATTGTCAGTAACCCACACCTGAGATAAATAAATGTATTAATTCTCTTATAATTTTGTTTATTACTACACAACCTCTTATTTATTTAAGAAGTATCCCAATGGTAAGAAGTGAGCTTCCGAGGTTATATTATTATTATTTGTAAAACATAAGAGGTATGTTACAATATATATATATATGTATATATATTTTTTTTTTTTTTTTTGGTGCCACAGACTATGCAGATCTTTGATCACGAGATGTGGTCTCCTCATAGACCACATCCCGATTAGGGTAGGGTCATCAGTCCTAAGCCCAGTCAGTGTGAGTTGCCTCCAGTAGACTGACAGATCACACATATCGAAGGGGGGAATCTCAGGCAGCGTGGCTTTCTCTGGTGGACGACCATCCAAATCGGGCGGTCACCCTTCCAAGTGTTAACCACGCTCGGCGTTGCTTAACTTGGTTACCTATTGCAAGGGCCTTAGGCCGCACGCCTAAAATTCCAAACATGCTCTGGAGAGATCTATCAGGTGGTGTAGGTGGCCTAGGCCACAATCTAAGATATTTATCTACACCTAAGCTGGGGATCAATTCGTTCTTGGGTCAATCACTACTACAGTACAGTTTCATTAAAAAATGCTAATGAATGGTAAGCTCCAATGGGGTGGTACTCCTTCTTACTGAAAATATAAATTACACACAAAAATTTGAAAATATTCATTTTGTAACAGCATTCGATTTATCCCACTGGATTGCTTTAATCCTTAAAAATAAAACTTCGAAATTGGTTCATTTATTTTTTTTTAAAGCCCTTATATAACAAAATTGAACATTTCAACTGTAATTAATAATATGAGTATGCAGATATGAGCTGGCTGGGACTTACTTAGTCTTTGAGATTTGATGGAAGAGTTCGAGTGGCCCTCAAGCTATAAGGTTTGGAGACTCATGCTCTAGAAATATATACTAATGCTTGAGGCATGACAAAACTTTAATTTTTTTGTCAATAAATGTTCATGAAATTCTTGAACAATTTAATTTGAATCAGTTTGTATTTTGTAGCCTCCGAATTCAGTACCTATTTTGCTTTTAAAAGGATGTCCAATGATTATTATAATTTTTTTTTTTTTTAATAACAGACGGCTGCAGGAAATTCGAATATATTCTATGCAAGCTCAATCATTCACAAGGACGTGTTTATGTATATTTTTTAGGCATGTGTGTATTTGGCTGGCTGTGTCTGTATGGGAATGTATGTAAGAGCAAATGACAATAAATGTGGGGTAAATAATTACTGTATGCTTCCAATCAAAAATCTGAGTCTTAGCTTCTCCAGCTCCTGTCCTCACTCCTAGATATATTAAGTCAGACAGGAGCCAATAAATCGGACTCAATAAACCTGGTAATTATGGTTAAAATAAATGTATTCCTTTTTACAAATATTTTTGGTCTTACGGTTAACTATATTTTTTGTAATGACAATGAAATTTACTTGAAAAATAATACTGACTATTCATTAGAAGTACCAAATTTGTTTAGAAATGAGACAAATGTAGACGAGATGCATAATGGAAAAATATTAGTAATTTCTTGAAGCCCAAACGTTGGCAGTGACGAAAGAATGTTAAAGAAAAAAATTGTTTGGCAAAAAATCATTTTAATAATAGGTAAATTTATTTATTTTACTTATAAAATCATTTTGAAACTGTGAAAACATAACAAATCCCATCAAATACCATTTACATTTGATCGTGAATTAATCTATTAAATTATTCAAATAATATTAAATTAACATCAAGGTCGATATCCACAAATTAAAAACAAACATTGGTAAAAATAAAAACATGCTTGTGTAGGAAGCACTTAATTGCTACCAATCTTCATTGAAGCATGAGTCTAAATATAAATATGATAAAAAATACTTATCAAATAATAAATATCATAAAATATAATGAATAACTTACTTCATATAGATTTCCAATAAACAATTTCGGCTTTAGACAATTTATGTTACGTTTGGACCAGTACTTGTTTTTTTCCTCAGCCCATTTTATAAAAATAAATATAAGGGAAGAAATCAATATTGTAAACAATAAAAGAATAAGAGTCAACATTTTTCTTCTGAAAAAAATTAAAAATTACTATTAGAACATGAATAACACATAAATGAGTAAAATATAAATGAAAAAAAACAACATAAATTTTAAATTAGCAGGGAATGTTGAAAAACTTGCAGATAATTTTTCATCAATTGTCGAAGCTCTAATAAATAGTTTTTCAAGTTTTATTTTATAAACAATAAACCTTTAATAATAAGAAATACATATACAGCACTAAATAATTCTGTGAACACTCAACCTGCATTTTATTTTATTTTATCATAAACAAAAAATCTTTTTTTTTTTTTTAGAAAATAATTTCATTTGATAATATAAACATTCAGTTTTTATTTTATATACAATGCTTCTGATTTTTTTCTGGTTATTAATTCTTCATGAAATTATTTTGTCATCTTACACATTGTCAAAAATTTCTACAAACATTGTAAATTAATAATGAGTAATTAATTTTTTACAGCTTGAGATAGACTTGTGGGTCCTCTCATGTATCTGGTAATTGCTAACATACTTTCATAGATGCTACCAATTTCACAGTAATTCATCCAGAATCGTTTTCCCATTCTTCTACAACCAACTTTTTTAATTTTTCTCCTTTCCTTATCCATCTTTTGCATATTTTGAAATAAATATCAATCCATTGTGCTCTATGGGATTTAGATAGAGTGATTGGAAAGGTATTTACAGGTGCTGAGATGTATCTTATAACAGCAATTTTTTTTATTTTTAAGGTGGTATCATGTTTCAGAGCATTGCTTGTTGATAGACAAATATTATTTTAATTCGAAATTTCTTTTAAATTTTCCCTTAATATTTTAATATAGATGTAATAATCCATAAAACCGTTGATTATATGCAACTTACCAACTATTTTTGTACTCACACACACCCATACCATAAAATTACTTTCTCCATGTTTGATAGTGGAATTTAAATTTTTCATTTATATGGATTAATTATTTTTTGCCACAGTTTTTGGGAATGATCAAACCTAAAACATTGAATTTCAACTCATTTAAAATTATGATGGAATCCTAGAATGAATGAAGTTAACCACCAAACATGGAGGAGGTAATTTTATGGTATTGGTATCCATGAGTGCAAAAGGAGTTGGCAAGTTGCAAATTATGATTGGTATTACAGATCAAGACGTCTATATTAACATACTAAGGAAAAAATGAAAAGAATTGGTCAGAATTGGAAAGAACCTTTGTCTTCCAACAATACAACACCCCTAAACATACCAACGTAAAAATAAAAAATTTGGGCTTTGTTGTCATATATCTTGGCGTCTGAAAACCCTTCCCTAATCACCCTATCTAAATCCCATAAAGCAAGTAGCAGATGAAATCAGTCACTTTGTAGGAAAACAACATATATGGAACTGAGAGAAATTAAAAAAAGGTAATTGTAGAAATGGAGGGAAAAATCTGGATATATTAATGAAAAGTTGGAAACATCCAAGAAAACACGTTGGTTTGATATAAAAGAAAACCGACAAGTCTATGTTAAGTAGTAAACTATTAACCACAGATATCCATATTTTGGCCACGAGTATGAAGAAACATGACAAAATAATTTATAAAAAATTATATATCATAATAAAATTAAAACTGGACGTTTTTATTATAAAATAAAATTGTTTCGTAAAAAATATTAATCCATATATATATATATATTTTTTTTTATTAAACATTATTATATGATAATTTTATTGTGATGTTAACGATAAAATTAATACAATAAAATGCCGGGTGGGTGTTAACAAACTTACTTGGCCTAATGTACATCATATATCATTGTGTGCATATATATCAAACTGAATATTCATTTTAAAAAAATGGGTAAAAATTATTCACCTATTTAAACACGTTTTTAACGAATGTAAAGTAAGAACTAAATTTCTTCAAATATTTTTATAGGTAATATAATAAAGTTGATCACAATATACAAGAACCTACTTACATCGCTAAGTTTGTTGCCCATACACTTTCCTCGTACTAGTCAAACTCCTGACAACTTACATAATAGGGATGTGAGCAGGGTTGCCAGTAGCGGTGAGTAGGGGGTTGGCGGGGGTCGATAATACTATCGATGTATCGATAGTTTATACCAATCGATAATTATAGTAACTAGCAATAGTGCGTATCCTATCCTTAGAAACTAATTAATCTCAAAATATCTCTATACCACCAGTCGTAGATAAGTTCAATTATATTTTAACGCAATATTATCAAATTTAGAGATGAATTTTCGTTGAGATTATTTCAGGGTTGCCACCCGTCCTGTTTCCCGGAAAGTTCCACATTTTGACGCGCAGTCTTTTGGGTCTTGTTGAGCCCCACCATAGAACACGAGTCATCCCCTACTTCAGTGATTGTATGTTTTATTCTGAAAGATTTTTTATAAGACGGGTTGGTTTTACTGAATAAGTAAATATTTTTTGAAGGATTACCTTTGGTTTTTCAGAGAAGAGTGCCAACGAGTTTAAAGCAAGAAAATGCAACAAAGACTTTTGAATATCACGCAGAGGGCTTAATCACGTAAAATTTTAATATATTTTTATCAAATAATTATGTAAGATGTTTTCAATATATAATTTTTTTTTAATGTATTTGCACTTTATAATAAAGTTGTTTTATAAGCTCCTATCATGCTCAAATGCCATGAATGGGAAACAGTTGGATTCAGAATTTCACGGGGAGTTAGCGAATCGTATCTCCGCTTTTGGTTTTCTTTCTAAATAATGTCGAAATAAACATTTCACTAGGCTTTAATATTGGACAATGTGGAGTAAGAAGTCTGTGGATTGAAACGGGACTAATTGGGATTTGAAGATTTTGATACAGACATCATGATCCGGTCAGTTCAATCGGACTCCTGTCTCATGTCGTCGACTTGAGGTCCGTATGATTGAGAGAGGAGTTTATATTATTTATCAATGGAGTTTTTTTTCGGTACACAAATTTTAATTTTAATTCAAGTTAATTATTAATCAAATCCGAAGATTGAGCCATTTTGAAGATTTCATTCTCCTTCAGGTGGAAAAAATGATCACATCACCTCGAAAATTCAGGCAAAAAAGTCTTGAGAAAGAAAATCTATTTGTTAATAAATCAAAAAGTATACACTTTTTTGTTGATCCAGGATTGTTTAAAATATTACTAAATTCCATATAAAACAAAAGAAAAATCATCGAAATCGGACTAGTATTAGTAAAGATATAGCTTATTGCAATTTGTTAACAAGATGTTTTAAATCAATTTTCATTTCCTTGATAGATTATAATTACTGAGAAAATTAGAACTGATTTCTCCATCTTCTGATACGTTTTATTATTTTCTTCTCATATTATTTTGTCATAGGCACTGACCAATGTACCCTGCGAATTATTCGTACGGGCCAAATAGTATGGAATTATTATTTTATGAATTTTATTCATCTATTGTCAATCCAGATGTTCCTTTTTCTTAATTTGCTTTAGTAAAGAAAAACGTCATATTGAGCTTTTCTTATTGTATTAAATACTTTGATGGATTTTCTTGGTGAAATGAGAACATTTTGCACTTAAACTAAAGATTATATATATATATATATATATATATATATATATATATATATATATATATATATATATATATATAATGCTTTCTTTCATTTTGATGTATTAACTGTTTTTTGCATCAATAAATAAGATTGAACTTCATAAAAAATACTTAAAAGTTTAGCTCCATCAAAAGTGTATTTACTGACTTTAGCAATAAACCGATGATAGATCCATTAATCTAAGGAATACAATAATTATTCCATACATATGATCATAAATTGGAGTCGTCTAGTTTCCAATTAATTATTTATTATATAGGATATTTCGCCCCTCCCTCCCCCCAAGCCTTATTTTAATTGAATTATTATGAAGAAACAACAACTAGCCATTAAAATTAAATATTGCTTTTTATGTTATATAACAATATCTAAAGTAAACAAACACGGCGTTTGTTTATGCAATAAATAAAAAATATATGCATATTTTTATGCAAGACCTTACATTTTCAGATGGAAGGGGCTGCTGACCTCTAAAAAGATAATCAACCGTTCTAGAATAAGATGAAGGCCAATTATAAAAATGGATTACTTAATTTTATTTTGTTATAGAATTTAAACATTTTTATATTTATTTAATTCAATATATTTAATATTAGTTGAATTAGTTTCACTAATTGTAAATTCAGTAATAAATGATTCGAAGGTATAAGTTCATAATGTTCGCCATTCACAAGACCTGGTTTACTTACCTCAAGGCCCACTGGACCCGGTCTGGAGCCACATAACTGCAGAGAGAGCGATCAAAATCTTTTATATACTTTATTTATTACGTTTTTACTAGATTATTATCTTTAATAGGCCCGAGGAGAGGAGAAGGGGCTAAAGTTTTTTTAACCTTCTAAGTTTTTTTCAAACAAAACATTATAATTATTTTATAATAATATATGCAATATTTTATTGTATACATCATCATTGGTTAATTTTCAATGGTTTAATTGATATTCGACGGTTTTCCTCTTCTCCAGTTGTTGAGGAACATGGTCCGAACAAGCTGAAGAGGACCCTCAAAAACTGCCTATGAGCCAAGGCCAGCTAAAGGTTAAGGCCTAGGCTCTTCATCCCCTCCACCACAGCTGGAGACCGCAGAAAAAAAGCCTATAAAGTTTCGAAATTTTAACTTTTGCGAACCTGGTTCCATCTCCTAATATTATACCTATCTTGATAAGAAATTTATAACCTCTTCAACATTGTTACTTTAAAAAAATATATATATTTTTTGTTTCTATTCAAAAGGCCTGTGTGTTGTTTCCCAAAATAGCATCATTAATTAAAGACAGGAAAAAGAAAGAGCGTGTTCTTCTTTGCTAAAAAATAAAAACAAGATTCTTGACTCAATGCTATTCGCCGAGCCAATTCAGAGTCTGTGGGCCAGGCCCCACTGTCGTGTATCC